TTTTTTTTGCATTTTTAAATTTCACAGATTGTCTCAAAATTCAACCCTAGGATTGCAACAGATTAGGGTCAAATTGCAAGGTACCACCTGTACACTCAACAAATAGAACAACCCTAAATGAAATATTCATTGCGGTCTTTCAGGTAGACTCTCTCTCTCTCCCTCTCTACAACAAAATTCAGGGAACCAGAAAACAAAATGTGGTTGGGAGAGACAGAAAATTATTGTAGAAAACCCCTATGAAATGGGCAGAGAAACTATTTTGTTGGCAGTGAATCCATCAAATACAATTTGTTATGCAGAGAAACTGGTTGTAGGGAAGGGAAAGTCTACCTGTAAACTTTAAATTGTGAGTCCCCTGAAAGTCATTGCAGTGTGCCCACCTACAAGGTCACAACTGCAGTCGTTCATCTTAAGAAATGATAATTGTATTCTGTTACAGTAGAATTCTGTTACCATGAATCTTTTTATAACAAAGTTTTTTCTTGGTCCTGGCAGTTTCCAATAGGCATAATGTTATAAAAATTTTGTTATAACAAAGTAATTTTAGGCTGTTATTTCATTATTACAAATTTTTGCCATGATTCTGCGCACAGCCCATATAGGGATTACTCAAGAAATAGCAGAAATTGTTGAAAAATTAAAAGATGCTGCATTACAAGTTTACAACTTTATCAACAAATCTTTATGCAAAGAAAACTTGACATCCAAAAAATACACAACAGGACATATTTTTTGAAATTCTTGAGCTCATCCATTTTAGAATATGCCTTTTTCAAATAAACAGTACATTAGAAGAATGCTCCTCTATTTTAGAAAGAGCCATGAGTGGATAAGTTGATTGAGAAGGAAATTGAGCATGTTTACCATATGTAATTTTGTTTTCATTTTTCATGACCAGCAATACTCCAGTACAAAAGTTTGTTTATTTAAAGGAGAGTACTTTTTATATTAATGGATTTCTCTTCATTTCATCAGAGGTAATCACTAAATATGCTAGGTCTTCTGTGTTTTAGAAGCATTTCAAAGTATGTATTCCCATTTTCAATAAAATTGCAGTCTGAAATTTGCTAGAAATCATTGATCTTGATGTAGCAAATTTTTCTTTATAATGAGGTTTCACTGTATCTGCGAAGCCTGGCTTAGGTAGATGGGCAATTTGGTTGAAGGGCTGACGCGAATGTGGAGTAGCCCCTCGGCTGGCAGGAGCAATGGGGGTATCAACTGCTGACGAGCGGCTGGGATTGCGAGCTGATCGGATGCGGGGAGCGTGTGATGGCATTCATAAGCCCGCGTGTGGGATGCGATTTGATCCCACGGCAGCACCTCTGTCCTTTTTTTTTTTTTTCTTTTTATGCCCCCNAATCGGGTTGAATAAAACTGTTGTCTGAGAAAAAGCCTGTCTGTATTTTCTCGATAAGTCTCGCGTCGTCAGCAGAAGCACTCCTCCGCGACTAAGGAGTTAAGAACCGCAAGAGTAGTCACTCATAACGGTCCCATTTATTTATCTTAGTTATTCTTCTAAAGTAAAAATAATTGAAAATAGGATAACAACTTGTACAATACTGTACTGTATAAACGCAATGAAAATTTTGTGGGAAGTTTATTTTGCAAGCGCAATGCAAAAGCAACCAGGGGTTTGATAATATCTTCTTGAACCAAACGTAGTACAATTTGTAAAGATTCTTGCAACACTTTCTTGCTGAAATACTATAATAGTCAAGGCACAATAGCACTGTAAAATATAATTAAAGCAAAGCCTTTTTAACAAGCTCAACAGGCAATAACAAACTTGTGGAGACTTTAAAAAAAATGTCGACCAGTTTGTTTAATTGAGAATCACCATTTGATTTGAAAACTCTTTATTTTGCTCTTTTTTAAAGAAGAATCTGGGGTTTTTGGAACGACTGTTTTGAATAAAAGAGCGAATCTTTTTTGACAGATATAAGTGCCATATCCACTTGTTTTTCTGTAAAAGGCATAAAAAGCCTTGGAGCTCTTATTTTTGCTCAAGTCTTATTGTGAAACATGTCCTGAAGATTATTTTTTTTACCATGGACTTTCAAAATGTTTGTTGGGGTAAGGAACTTCCATGTATTTCCTGCGTATTCAAAGTATTTTTGGGGAGAAAATTTATAAATAATGGCAAATTTTAGGCTAATATGTTCTACAGTATCATGAATGCTTTTTTGTGTTTGTCTGCTGTGCTGTGCTGTGCTGTATTATATTGAGATTTTCCTGTCTGGGCTGCAAGAAGAGTTAGTGAAAATTGAAGAATTATTGATACTTCAAATATATTCATTCAGGTTATTGTGCGGGGTGTCCGTTATCCGATACACCGCTCTATATAGCTTCTGTCCTGTATTTTCAAGGACGTCACCTGGTCCAACGGGGCGCGTTCCACCGGCTGACAGAATATCGCCCACCTCTTGACGTCCCCCCCCCCATTCACC